AAGTGCTAAGTATCTGATTAGCGGAGAAAAGCAGCAGAAAAAGCAGTCCGAAATGTTATAGAGAAAGATAACATAGTGGCTACTAGCTAGTAGCTAGCAGCCGGTGAGGGTCGGCATGGGCCTAAGGGGTGTCCATGGGCCTAATTAGTCAGCTTCTAGCGGAGTTCTTGCCGTTTTTCACATTTTGAAAGTAGCGCAGCCTCAAAAATCGCCTTCCGGATCGTCCGACACATTTGAGAGGTCATAGCCTTATTTTATCGCGGAATGTGCCTTTAAGGGGTGTACCTTTGGGTGCCTCGTTTTCTTGGGGAAGCACAAACCCAGAACCGATTTGATGTGGGAGCAGCCTTCTCTTTCTGTTCACAATTGAGATGAGGGAGCTCCGAGCCTAAATGAAGTATGGAAGGAGCTTTTATTCTGAGTTCGAGCTCGCAATGGCTAACTTCCAATGAATGCAGATGAGACCCGAAGTTTGTCATGAGGAAAACATTCATTATCCAACTGGATAGTGGTGAAGGCGATGAATTCCTGCGGTGTTGCTTCTAGATGGTCTAATGCATTTTTAGCTGATACAGATTCTTACTTAGAACCATGCAAAGTGTATCATTTTACGAATTTTTTATTATTTTTATTGTTTGAAGCGGGTTCGTCGTCGAATTCCCATCTCGCGCCGGTGTCGCCTTGCATATGTCAGTACGTATGGGAATGCATGGAGGAGAACACTGCATCGTTCTGAACAACATGAGGAATGGAGCGTAAGTGACCGGTCCGCTTCACATTCACCGAACAAGGATATTCTCCTGAAACTGATTGTTTTAGATGGCAGATCGAAGAACGCCATGCGAATGCGTTTCATTTCGGACAACACTTCCATCTTCAGATAAAATGCCATCAGAGCCACTACACGGTACTTGCTCATTCTGTCATGTATATATTCATGCTCTCAAGTTTGCTGAGAGGTGAAGTTCACAGTAATTACCACGAGCGGGTTCAAATCTGGGATTCCATTCCTCCTTGCCCGGAGAACCAGGCCCCTCATCGCTCACGCTCGTCGCTCAATTTTTTTACTAGACTTTTTTGAGTGGGTGAACAAAAGCATGTAGTTGTAAAAGTGGTCAAAAGTCGCAGTTCAACTACGATTCCGGTCAGAAGAAAATTGCGTGCAGGGGTTATCAAAAGAGAGTGGTGTTAGCTTGGAGGGGGGGGGGCGGGAAGCGGCATTTCGCACATTTAGAGGTTCATTTTACTACTAGATGTTCAATGACAAGTCTAGTTTCGGTGGAACTTGTGAACCTTTGTGAAGCTGCGGAATGGTACAAGTCACAGGTTTTCACAAGATGACCTGTGTAGGTTTCGCTGAGTACCATTTGAAGCCCCACCAAGCTGTACTGCGCCAGAAGGAGCTTGAAAAACTCCTCTCGTTGCTTTCTTTGTTGCTAAACTCCAATACAGATTTCCTCCAATAGAGATGAGGACTTCCGCCCAAATCGAAAGCGGAAGAACAGAAGAAGCTTTGTAAACCAGTCAAATGAACTCACAGCCGGGATATTTCCTGCCTTTGGGGGAAAATTTCGTAATATTGCAGCCCCTCAGAGTTCCTCGCCACCACCCCTTGTGCGAATCTGTTTCCACTCTCCTCGCCACCGCCACCCATCCTACCTACCATCTTCCAGAATTCCCCCCCCCCCATCTTCCATTCAGAGGTTTTTCTTTCAAAGAACCTCGGTTTTCTAATCCAGAAAAGTGGCTTTGGATTGAGGGGGGGGGTGGATGGTGTACAGCGTAGATGAAACCGGACAGACCGAGAAACTTCAACAACTAAGAGTGTTTTTTGAAGGACAGGGCGACGCCTCATCTCTGGGGATTCCCAACGAACGAGGTGCCTTGAGTTTAGGTTATCAGTATTTTTACGCACTTTCCGGTTCACATTTTTCTTGTCCTGTCACTCTTTTAGTACATTTTTATCCCTTTTCACACCGGTCCAGGGAACCTGTGAGTAAGTAAGAAATTTTAGCATAAGCAATTGCAGTTTTGCATAATAAATTCAAAACGTCATGACTCTGAGGAATAATTGGTCCTGCCACTGTCTTAAATATAGTAAAACAGGGATGAATATCGCTGTTATGATTTGCTTAGGTCAATGTGAATGGCCAGCAAGTCGCCCACTTCTATCACCGTGAAGATCCTCATCATGTGACGGCACTTGCCGCAAGAGGAGACCTTCAAGTTACCAAAATTCATTTCGAAAACTTCGTTGGAATGGGCGGAGGTAGGTACTTTATTCCTCAATCATTTGATAATAAGCAAATGTTTTGATTTTAGGTGTACAGGTGGGATCTGGTGTTGTGGTGGCTCAGCCGCCACCAGCAACAGTCGTCATGGCACCTGCACCTCCGCCACCAGCACCAGTTGTGGTGGTGGCACCTAGGCCTGCTCCTCTTGTCGAGGTAGTGATGCCTCCACGTCGACCCATCGTCGAAGTTGTCGTGCCGCCGAGACGTCCACTTATTGCACCGGTAGAAATGTTTCCATAGGTGCCAAAAATCGAAAAAATCTAGCTAACTCTGCCAAATTTTAATGGATATGTATCAGGACAATCGTAAATAGCCGCGCAGGCAGGCGTCGCATGCGACGTCGCAGATGACAACTTTTCTAGGTCATAAGTGGAGGAATTAGGCAATCTAAGGCGCAAATACCCCTGTATGTCTACGACATCGTAGTCTACATGAAATACGGTGCTGCAATTGACAGGCCAACGGAGGTGAGTAGGCGCCGCGTCCATCGCTGCGCGCGACAGAGCGGCAAATTGCGATTGTCTTGACCGTCTCCCAACTTTACCCATCCTATTCGTTATTGAAGTTATTTTGTCGATCCTGCCACACAACAAGCGTTTCATACTAAGCTTTATTCGTTGAGATATAACCAAAGACGCGTTGCGTCCTTTTCCCGTAGTTATTAACAATCGATCATTTTATATTTTTACCAAAAAAAACTAGAGGCGCGACTGATCGATTCTTATTTCAGGTGGTCGTTTTGAACACTGGAAATCGTCATCATCGCCATCACTAGCTCCTTGTCGTCACTGTGTTGCCTGTGTTCGAACTGGTACCTCTCCGCATCATGTTACAATAAACCTTCTTTCCTGCCGGAAGAAATTCCACGCTATCCTGCAAGCAGGGTGTTGGTAATGCAGATATGGGGGGAAAACAACTTTTTAAATAGGTGCACACCATAGGTGCACGCCAGGATATCCATGTGGCGGCAAGGCTGCGTTCGTACTTTGCGGCAGCGTCCACCAGCGACCAATAGCGTCCACCAACGTTCCGAGCGTCCGGCAGCGTCAGCGACTAGGAAAGTATAGATATCGATCTAGCGTCTACCAGCGTCCAAAAGCGATCAGCAGCAGACTGCTGGTAGAGACCATGAGGCGATAGGAGGGTACCAGCTGTCTGCCCCTCTCCTCTCTCGCCACATTCTATCAGTCTCCTACCCTCCTATTGCCCCTTGCTCTCCATTCCCGGACGCTGGGGCTCGCTGGTAGAGGCTGGCAAACGCTTCATCAATACCTATACTTCCCCAACCTTCGAGACGCTCATGAACGCTGGTAGAAGCTGGCAGACGCTAGACCAATTTCTATACTTTCCTAGTCGCTGACGCTACGGAGGCTCGGAACGCTTGTGGACGCTGTCTCGAAGTGTGAACGTTGCCTAACGCCACGAACTTGACTTTAAGCGTTCATGGTGGCGTGATGATTTTTGTTCCTTTGTTCTTTGCCATCAATCGCTCTCAAAGCGCTCTTAAACAGGACGCGATAATATTTGGTAGAGAACTCACTGACACCTCGCTAACACCTCGTTAACACTCTTCCCCCCCTCCCTTCCCTCACGCCCATCTGACACGCCGCAAGGTTTACAGCAGCAAAGCTGAAAGCACAGTTGTTGGCAACTAGCCAAGAGACCTCCCTTGTAAGAGGAAGAACAACTAAGAGCGCATAAACGCTGAGCACTTTGAAACGAGCTACATACTAAAAAGAGTAGGGACATAAAGTGATCTGATCTAACTAGGGAAGGTCGTCAGGTCGAAGTGGCCATTTGTAATGAGATGTAGCTCACTAGACGTGGTTTTGGACGCTGATCTCGAATCTGCCTTCGAAATTTGCAGAACGATTCTCTGAACGGAGTTATGGAGCCGCGTTTACCACGCAACAGGTCGTGGGATCGGATCCCTGCTGAGCTTAACTTTTTTGCTTCTTGTGCAAACGTGGCAAAAAGTGGTTGTGGCGTCACTGCTACATTAGCGCTCTCCTTGACTTGCCTGAAAAACAGTTTGTGTTCGCTTACTGGCGCGCTTAGTGCCTTATGTGCCCTAGTGCCTCTGGGAGAATTTTCGGATGTGCAGGTGCCCTTGGCGCGGAGTACAA